ATCCTGAAACAAAGCATCTTTCCTCCTACGAAACCAAGCGATTTTGTGGACGAGATTTTAACTGAGTTTTCCAACTGGAATGCCATGTATGTGATAGTCTTGCTTCCTACGAAAATCTCTAAACTTCTTTCGACCGAGAATGAGACAAATAAGAAATCTATCAAGAGGTCAGAAATTGAAGAATTTCTTCCAATACTGAAAGTTTATTCGTCGGCTCCTGGCGAATCATTCGACCTTTGCGGTAAGGTTACAAAAGCCTCTCTCATAAATGTCTGGGTTTCGGGTGCAAATGATGAAGGGTATTTCTTGTACAAAATGCCTTTGTTTAGGCAGAAAATTCTGGGTACCTTCCACGGATGTCCGATTCGAGTCTCCGCTTTCGATTACAGGCCGTTTTTTATCCAGGATATAAACAGTGGGAAAAACAAGGACACGATTTCTTTCGACGATGGTTTAGAATTTCGTTTACTAAACACGATAAGTAAGTCAACAAACATGTCAGTGGTTTTTGACTCAATCCCAGTTGGTGGCGATCTGTGGGGAAGGCCTCTAGAAAACGGGTCATGGACCGGGATACTGGGACGAGTTCTCAGTGGCAGTTCTGACGTAGCAATGTGCAGTTTGTATTATGTATGTCACTTGAGCAACGACTTTGAATGCAGTAAGCCTTACGTCTTCGACAAAACTTCGTGGTGTCTCCCCTGTCCCAGACCGTTCCCACATTGGCTGAGTTTAACCAGGGTCTTCAAACTGGACCTGTGGCTGGTTTTCATTCTTTCCTACGTTATCTACGCGTCTCTGATGTGGATTTCAGCAACATTAAACAACATGCAGGGAAATAAAGAACTTTCTTACACAAGTGTCTCGAAATGTTTCCTCAACCTTTGGGCTGTAATTCTTGGAGCTGCAGCGCATGGTAAAATTCCCAGGAAGAGTGTAATCAGGACAAGTTTCGTCCTTTGGGTTCTGTACAGTCTGGTTCTAAACGTAGTGTACCAGACTTTCCTGACAACTTTTCTCATTCAACCGGGCTTCGAACATGAGATATCCACAGTCAACGAACTCTTGGAATCAGGAATGGAAATGGGCCTCCCGACGACAGTGGACACCGTTTTACCGGAGCTGACAAGCAAACTTTATATCCGCCGTACGTTCTGTACTGACATGTCAACATGCTTTCATCGTCTAGCTTTCGAAGGGAACTTCGCGGTCCTATGTTCTAAATATAACACCGAATACGACGTAGCCCGAAAGTATACCGACTCTAATGGTAAGTCACTTATTTGTCACCTGAAAGAAGATTTTTCTCTACAATTCATCACGCTGACGGTACGTAAAGGAAGCCACTTGTTGGATAAGTTTAACAGGATTATTAGCCACGTGTTAGAAGCTGGTCTCATGAACACGTGGTGGAAAAACCTGAAGTACAAGGCAACTCTAAGAGCGGCCTCAGCGTTTACAGGACACAACAGCAAACACACTGCAATGACAACACAACACTTCCAGTCAGCGTTATTTGTTCTTGCAATTGGTCTCATTCTTGCAATGTTATGTTTTGTGTGGGAACGTCTTCATGGAGTAGAGTGACAAACATATTACTTTCTGTGTAACCAGTAATTTAAATACCGTGATTAAATCCTACAATTTCATTTAGTTGTAAACTTTATAAATGTCCAAGATAACATGTGTAACGTATCGTAAAAAGACCACTCGGACGACCTGATTGTAGATGTAATAATAAAATGGGGCTTAAGGTAATACGTTGGGAGTGTGTGTGTGGACTGGTTTAAACTGTCTCAAAATAGAGGCCGGGGGAGGTCTCTTGTGAACACGATAATGAACCTTCTGATTCCGTAAAAGACGAGAGAATACCTACGATTTACAGTAATATCACGGAAAAGTTAAACGATACAATAAAATACCTGTTAATTCCATAAATTGGGACACTATAAAATGCCTGGTAACCGCACACAGTGACTGAACTACTAGACTTTGCCCGTAACACACACGGACAAGCCCATGAAATTCTTTGTTGAAAATATTAACAAATTTGTCACATAAAAATGACTGTGTTATGCCCACGTTTAAATCGTGGGGATCAACAAGACCTGTTCACAGTTAGTGGAAATTATACTTTACTTACCTACGTAGTGTTTTGATCAATGCATGGTTAAAAGGATCAACACTAACCCTATTACTCACATTATCATTTAACTAACTAGATGGCTTAGGGAACCCGAAGGTTCATCACCGAATTAACCAAAGCCCTCCACCGGACCCTGTCCTGGGCCAACAAAATCCAGTCTCCTTCAACTCCTATCTCCCATAGATCCCTCCTGAGATTATCCTCCCATCTACGTCTAGGTCTCCCCAGCGGTCTCTTCCCCTTATGTATAGTTACACTATACCCACTAACTGGGGCGCATTGACACGTGCTACGCATATAAATTACATCTTACATCTAATTCATTCGTTGCGAAAGTTAGATAACTAACTTTGCAAGTGACGCGTATAAAATATCGGCTGAAAATTCCTGTGTAAAATCAATAACAGCACGATTGCCAAACGTGCACCTCTTAACCTGGTTCAGATACGTCGCTTGAATACTTCCATCGGTTTATGAAAAGCTCGTAACCCTATCCGTTGTGTCAAACTGGGATAAACCCTTCCAGTTACCAAGTATTACATAAGCAAACAATTTTACATTACCTGTTCAGTTGTACGAAATCTCGATGCACCACTCTGAACCATCGGCACACGACACACAAACAGAATAATGAATGTTCAATCACATCTAATGCACCCGCCATCTTAAAATAACCTGTTACTCATTCTCCCTATGTTGCCCTCTGACGTAGTAATAATGAATCATCGAAACAAACGAAGTAGGAAGTAAGGCTAATATTCCCAATGCTGCCACCTTACAAATTGCAAATCCGCTAATGGTATTGAGCGAACATTTTAAATATTCCAAAAATGAACTGGAAAGAACTGTCTTATGGTAAAATCTATAAAACAATCTATAATACTTGATACACAATTTTAATAAAATAATATTAGTATTCTTCATGGAGATGGAAAAACTAAAACAAATGAACTATTAGGTGAACATTGCTATGTTCACAGTATCCAATCACCAGTCACTAATCTGAGCCTGATTAATCCAATCCACACCTTCCAGCCCTACCTTCGTATTCCCACCTACACCCACGTCTTCTAAGTGGTACCTTTTCTCAGGTTCTTAAACAAACATTTTGTATACATTTCTCACCTCCTTTTATATGCTACAAGTAAATTTAATTATGGAATTGTTAACAAGGCCATTACAGACCAGAGCGAGTTATCATCTGACAAACAGAATTATAAACACAGTTGATTGGAGAAATAATAGCACTATCCATAACATAATGGCAGCTAGTTTGCACTTATGGCCCATCTAGCTACATTCATTAAACACCCTTAATCCCATACGACATAATTTACCACCACCATCATACCTTTTCGCACATTCTGATACACATTAGGGAAACATAAAATGCTGTTTATAGGTTTAGTTGAAGCTAATGTATACAGTAGCCAATGAGGGCATGGAAATGTAGCTTACCTGATAATCCTCTTCTAACACTTTTTTTATACGATCGCGAACCTCGATACAAATGCAACATTAGAGGCTTAAATCATAATACGTTGTACACTTGGCAAAATTTCACTGCATTTAATGTTTAAATTAACACAACACGGACTACTATGGATCCATATTCCATTTTCCTACGTGAAACATAAGGAAGGCAAAATTACTAACTACATGGGACAGGATCTTCCTTGAGAAGCTAATAGTTGCCGAGCTACCGATGAAATATTTCACCTTTTACGACGCACAAAAATTCATAACCACGTTTACAAGATCCATACTTCATAATGTATACATCATTAATTGTTATTTTATTCAGAAAGGGATTTATTCCACGTACGTGCATTTCTGAAGATTCGATATGTGGATATTTCGTGTTTTTTTATGGGTGTCATGCGAAAGACTTAGTATGCTCATAGAAAGTAATAGTTACAAACTAAAAATAAATAATGTTGAAAGTTGTAGGTGCTGTTACTTAAGATACACTGGAACACATACGGCCACGGCTGAAGTACAGGTTAGATTTATAACGAGATACTGAAGTAGTTCGTACTGAAATAATTCACCGAAAATAAATTTATATTTCTATATCAAATCTAATGTTACTGTACCAAATATCTTAACTCGAAATATTAACATTCTTTTATAGAAACTCAATGTGAAATAGGAATTAAACTTAAGACCGTATTTATTAAACACATCTGAAGATTATAGTGTCATTACATAACCTATAAACTTTTTTTATCTATCAAATTTGTCTCAGACTTCATTGAACTCGCGTATTTTCGTACCTGAGATGTCCATATGACGTGCGGCAGACAGTTAAATTCCTGAAAAATAGCACAAACCTTTTCTAGAAGCAAAGTTACTCGTTTATTATCGGAAAAGTTTGCCGGCAAGCGTAATCTTCACTGCATCTGTTTAGAAATACAGAAAATTACAGCGAAATATCGTGAGATTTCCGAAGAATTAAATGTTTTATTTTAAAGTTTAATTTATATTAAAATCAGGCGATGATTCTGTAATGGTATCGGATGCATAATCACCACCTGATCGTAACATCTTAAAAACAAATGAAATAATTTTAAACGCAGACTGATTTCTGGAAACAATACGTGAAAATGTTCCAAATTTTTTGTCATATCCTGTATCTGGGGAGTAATTACAGTTTTGAGTCCAAAACATACTTTACCTGCATTATTTTGTTAAAAACTGTTTCTTCTTTAATTTTAATTGATCTTGGTACAGTTATTGGCTCTTCTTATAACACAATATTTATAAATCACACGAATAAATTTTCCAGTACAGTAACACATGTTCGTGGCTTTTTACCACGCCAAACAAATATATATATATATATATAATATAATTATGAAAATACAACATAAATATTTATTTACTTACATACTTTTAATAGTTGTATTAACTTTTTAATTAAAGTTAGATACATAATCGTATTCAATTTTTAAATGTTCATACGCTTGAGCACGATAAACAAACACGAAACACATTCAGTCCAAACAACACCACTCTCTTCACTTTCATTTAAATTACGTATTCCTGAAATACAAGGTTCGTCACAAATATGGAAATTTCACTCTCTCCCTTTTGCTTACTCGTTGAAATCTGTTTCTTAAGCGACCCATCCACGTACGAGTCTGGCTCGGCGAGCTTGACTCGCGAGCCGGGCTCGGACATATTTCACCGCGATTGCGTAGCAGACTCGGCTCCTGACACCCACAAACGAGTCTGGCTCGATGGATCCCGACCCGAGTCGGACTCCTACGTGGATGGGCCGCGCTTTAGGGGCAAAGTGGTTTCTTATTTTGTCAGTCTACTACTCTGAAGAAACAGCGAACAAAGTATCGAAGAAATTTAAAATTATTCTCCTTAAAAGACCTCGATATTCGCAGTTTCATGTCTTTACCTTTATTAACCTTTATCATACAGAAGTAGGGGGGTTAAAACCCTGGGTTAGAAGCCAGATTTTAATTATGGAGCGTAACACTTTAGTGGAATGCTACTGTGACGCACGGCGACCCAGTCACAATACTCGAACGATAAAGTTTTACTTATGAACGCCCTGTATTTTTTTTTTCATAGTCCCAACTCTGTAATTATCTCCATTTCATTCTGAAAACTTCTAGTCTTCAATATAACTACAAATTTAATATAATAGTAGATTCATATTATTATTATTTTACACGCAAAAAAAATCAAACAAACATAGAAAACAATTATATTAATACGCTAATTTCAGGAACACAAATATTGACATAGTTATTATCCATTTCATGTTTCCAAAATGTTTCATTCATGTTTTTACCTACCAGTATTCACAAATTCCAGTAAAAGACTTCAGTAAACTCTGTCGCTGTAGAATTGTTGCTTTAATAGGCCTGTAACAAAGACGTACATTTTTGATTCGAGTGAACATTGTAGGCCTTGCAACAAATACCAAAAAAAAAAATCCAGCTGCTCCTTTAACTCGCGTAGAAATTTCAGTTTTTGAATAGTAGAACCATCGGTCACAAGTTCTTATAAACACACGTACTTACCGCAACAAACCTTTATACGAATTCCACCACCCTGTATAGTGTTCGTAATAAACTTACATTAATGTTGAGCGTGTTTGAAGACATTTTAATGTCATTTGGACAACAGTCTGACGCATTTCTTGATATTTTTCTTTTTATTTCACGTTAAATGAACAACATTAAAAACAAAAGACAGTAGAACCACGTCTACGCACCGTGGTACCGATTTCTTATCTGGCAATTTCTAATAATCGCTCGTCTTCATTTTATACGAAAGAAACACTACATTATGAAGAATTTTACAAGCCAGAGAGACTTTCTCATGAACGTGATTATGACGCAACTTCAAAAACCAAAATCAATTCAATTTCTTCGATATTTCAAAAAAAAACAATATCGTACACACCGTTTTACACATATTACTGAATATTACTTTGTGGAAGTAATTCATTACTTAGGTATTACAAAATATCTTCGGATAATATTATCACGACGTCATCAGACGAAATTAAGTCCAATCCCGAAAGGAAACATTATTACAATACCAATTTTTATATTTTGGCTACGGAAAAGTGAAGTTACATCAGATATTACATTCGACGCGCGCAAAGAATCCATTCAAACTTCTATTTGAGACGACGTATTCGTCAGTAAATTAAAAACGACACAATAATCAATCAATTATACATTATATTTGTTTAACTCAACGAAGAAATTATATCTTTTACGTCACAATTAAACAATTATATTTGTAAGTGAAGATCTCTAGCCGATTTTTAAGTGATTTTTATTATTACGTCAATTTTTTGTACTTATTTCTTTGAAGACGGTCTTAAAAAAACACGCGCACTTTTCTATAATTACGATTTATATTTCAAATTAATCGAAATAAATTTTGCAAGTGCCCCCGGTTGCCCCTAAATTATATATATAAAAAAAAATTACGACGTTGAAAGTGAACTCATTCTTCAAGACTATACGCGCACCAACGTTAAACATTTTCGTCATTCAACTCGTTCTTAGCTTTTATTTTAAAGATTCAGCCACGATCTCTTTTATCCGTGATCCTAGGATCCCCAGATCAAACCCTCATTTCGTCCATCGCCGCCGCGGGCAATCTCAGAACGCCTTTCCCGTGCGTCATCGAAGATCCACCGCTACTATGACGCAACGGATGATGATGTGACGTTAGAAGAGGTTGTGACTCCGGAGGACTTTTGTTTCTAGGTGGTGGAGGTGGCACTGGCACGGACAGGTGTAGCGTCGCCGAACCATTCGGTGGCGAAGGCGATACGAGCGCCAACTGCGACGTATCCACATTCCCGCTCTGCACGTTCGCGATATTATTAGCGAGGTTAACATTCTTCGGCGACGTATTTTCACCCCTAATGATATGCTGCTGTTGACCGATGACATTTGGCGATGGAGGAGGGGCTTTCAGCAGATTCGTCGTCACCATGTTACTCCCCAGGTGATGATGTTTCGTTAGAGCGTTCGAAGGCGACATCGTAATCTGTCCTCCGCTCTGCGTAATTCCAGAAGTCGCCACGACCGTTCCAGCCGTCATCATCATCGCCGACGTATCCTGTTCGACGTCGACGATAACACTACCACTTCCAGAATGCCCCACGTGGTAATGCCCCACGTGATGTTTTCCGATACTATCGAAATTTGCGCCTGGATTATGTCTGTTTTGTTGTTGTTGAAGAGCTTTCACTTCAAGTCGAGTTTTATCACGCTGATAATAGACACCGGCGAATATAAGGACATTGAGGATGAGCAAGGAACAACCGATGGCTATAGTAACACTGAGGGCCGTCGAATACGCGGCGTATCCGGCCGCTTCTAGACTCGCGAACGAATCGCCCGTCGTATTTCCATGTTGAAGAAGGTGCGTCGATTGACCTTGAAAGTTACTTCCGCTACCAACAACCGTGATACAGGTCGTCACCAGCGTGTCCATCGTCGTGACAGCCCCTGGGATCAATTCCAGACTCCCATTACCACTCTTGTGTCTCGGACCCAGAATGCTCGTGGGTCCGAAGTAAATATCAGGACCTCGGACCCCGTTGGTACCCGGGGCGCCGTCATAAAACGGTGTAGACGTGCCTCTTGACAGGGGATCGGGACGGACTACGCCGTCGTAAAGATCGGCGTCGTTATGATTACGGAAGAGATTGTGACGCGCGACGACGTCTTCTATTCCTGCTCTGTGCAGTTCTGGGATGAGTCGAAGCCACACCGATAATTGGTGAGCCCGAAAGTGGTTCTTCATCCGTGGTTTCATGCCTAAAACAGAAGGATAAATGCGCCAACATTTGCAGCTCGAAAACGTCGTCACGAATTCTTTAAAATACATTCCTCATTAAGAGTTAAAAAATTTTGACTCAAAATTTCAAGGTTTACCAAAAAATACGAGATTCTGCGACAAAAGATATTTCTCACGTAATTAAAACGAGGCCGTGGGTTTCAAAACAGAGTGAAATGAAAACAGTGGAAAGCATTTTTAATAAACTGCAATGGCGGTTCAATAAAAGAGACGTAATCCAGGGATGGTAAAATTTGAGAACCCCTGGTATAAAGCAGGTTTTTTTTTTAACTGGTTAACAAACAAAACCCAGCCGGTGGACCTGATCGTGGGTCAGTTCAATCAAATTCGAATTACCATAACCCACTTCCTTTTCCAAATCCGTTTCTGCCTTCGACGTGCCAGGAACATTCCAGATGTTCCCACCCAATTATTTTCAGTGGTCCCAGTTCATCAACACGAACGACGTAACATAACCACAAAACTTCCTTAATTTATCCAAAAACGACTAGGAAAACAACGCGAAATTTTTTCTGTGCATAAGAATCGAGTTTTTGAGACGTATGGCAGAAGTGGGCTTAAAGCTCCACGCACTCGTAAGTTCAACATTATATCGAGATGAATTGTCGGCTTCACGCTGCGGTCACTTCACTGGATGCTGTACCAGAGAATTCAGTCCGTACCTCAAAGAAAACACCACGTTTCACCATTACGAACATAAACTGGTTCACCCTTTAAAGTCGAAGCTCGTCTGAATAATATTTAAGAATCCAGTCCGTACCGCGAAGAAAACACTACACCTCACCATTACGAAAGATCGATTGATTAACGCTGTTTAAGGAAATAATCGCTGTTAATTCTGAGAATCGTAGTTCGTCTGATTAATATTAAAGAATCCAGTCCGTACCACGAAGAAAACACCGCACTTCACCATTACGAAAGATCGATTGATTAACGCTGTTTAAAGGAAATAATCGTGGTTTATTCCGAGAATCACACGAAACAAATAAATAAAAAAATTTCTGATTGGCAATTGGGGCACGTATTTAAAACTAGGCTCGTCACTTTTCCGGCAGTGAGTTTCTTTTGGACGCCCCTGTGTTTCACCCACACACACGCAATCACGTAAGTGAAATTGGTGGATTCGATACGATAGAAGCGGAATGACTGGAAACAAACACGAATTGAAACAAAGAGGAAAATCAAACACGGCCAAAGCGGAGAGGAAACAGACTCAAAGAAATGAAGACCCACTCGAACTGAATAAACTCTGGCTCACAAATTTATTACGCCCCCTCAAGTTTACTACGAAAATAAAACGCGAGATATCTTTAGCTCCTAACATTCATCGGCAGTCGACGTCAAGACAACGTTTCATCGGATTTCGATATCATTTAAAACAAATAATTAAATTCCGTATGAATGCTAATATCCTGAGGGTCACCCGTTTAGAGTTCGTACTACCAGAGTCGCCACAGTCAGAATTTCATTTCGTACTGACAGTAGATACGCGGTGAAGCACTGCGTTTTGCGTCAAGCCAAGACGACAAAGCGAAATAATTGGAATCAAATACGGTCACGTGGGAAATCATGAGTATTTCAAACGGGAACTCCGTGGTTTAAACAAGTCACCCAGAATAATGAAATTTAGGGGTCTACGATATGCAGGTAGAATTGAGGGGGTGGGGGGGGGCGATAAAAAAAACACGCGGAATGCTCGTGTTCATACGCGTCGCGGAGGAAAACTTAGAAGACGACGTGTACAATGGCCAAGTTATCGTATCAGGGGGCATTGAACTGTATGTTCTTCTACCGGAAAGTTAATTAATCGGTTTATTTTTGGAACAAAATGTTTGTTTACCGCCATCATATTAATTATCGTGGCATTTGATAGATCTAGATTCATTACGAGTTCTTTTCCCCAGCAGATTTAACAACAGATGACGTAACAGATTTACTGTGGCAGACGAATTCCTGGGTCTTGATGCTCAATATTATCTTCCGCGAGGTTTATCTTCCGTAGGATTCGTTAGATTGATTGAAAACACCATAAGAACGGTTTGAGGGGTGAGAGACGTACTTGAGTTCTGACGATGGTCTGCCTCCCGCCAGACCAAAGTGCCTGGTGGCAAATCATTTCACACTTGATCAGAGATCCATTAGCAGATTCCACACCCAGTAAATTTTCGTCTACGGAGTAACACCTTCCCCTCCTTCCATGAAACCGTCCGTCCGTCCGTCACACTCACGAGATTCAATTTTCACGGAATTCTGTCGTCACGGAGTTCAAAATGGCCGCTGCGTCCCAAAATTCGAGGAAAGTTTTTTTATTTGTGCTCGTGGGATGATTTCACGTGTTAGTGTCACATTGAGAAAGCGAAACTTGAAGCTGAAACGACGTCAGATTGCGCTGATTTCTTTTGACATATTTCCAGCTGATACGAAACTATGCCCCTAGTCCACGCTGTATTGATTCATACGACGACATTTTTATACGCACTGCAAATTAAGATGAGACGAGGTCGGCAGATCGCAAAACGAACGTAACATTTCGATACGGGAAAAAAACAAAAAAACAAAACAAAACAAAAAAACAAAAAAAAACAAAACAAACAAACAAACAAACAAACACGAACGGAAATTGTTTTTACCATTCTAAAATCACTCTGAGGGTGTTTAAGGGCAAAAAATTCTGGGGTAAATTGTTAAGACGTGACATAACAACGGATTGACGAAAATTCCAGCGTTTCGTTTAAAATTCTTACTATCTCCGATAAAAATTATACGAGATATGGAACTATAATATGAACAGAAGAAATGTGAAATTTTTACGTAATTTCGGTCTGAAGACATCAACAAATGAGATCGGTCGGTAAGCCTATCCATAGAGAGGAGGATAATATTAAAACAGATATTGTGAAAGGAAGACATTTTTATACCGTAAAATGTCTGAACATAAATAAATATAAAAAAAAACGAAATAATAATTATTGTCACACTTATATAATTTACTAGAAACGTCGAATACTTAATAAGAAATTACGACAAAGTGGCGTTAAAAATGTAATACGTAATCGATTTCGTCGTCAGAATCGCAAAACGCGTGTCGCTACTCACTTATTTCGAGGTACTTCTGATGGACATTGTCGTATTCATCCCACACGATATTCCTGAAGCGATTTCTCTCCTTAGACCCCGCCAAGATGGCGTCCTGTTTGTGGTATTCGTTTGGGTTCCTGCAATCAAGCGAGATTGAATATTACGCAAACCTCTGCTGATGGTAGCCTATCGAGTGAAGTTACAAGGACCATTTAACTCTTAACTTACCCCGTCCTGGCGAAACTGCTGAAGAAAATTATGACGGCTTCTGAGAGTCCAACCTCAGACTTCGTGTAGTTACGCGGGAAATGGCTGAATCCGTCCACCAGCGGAGCGCCGAACACATAGGGCAGCTCCTCCCCATGAACCGTGCCCATCCGCTGCAAAAAAAAAGGCCGTGGCCCACTGTTAATACAGCGACCATCACCACATTTCGTGTTTCAAGGTCACAGCAAAGTAAAATCTTACGACGCTACAAACACGTACAGCGGAATGAAGACAGCTCAGAATTTGCTTCGTAGCAAAGCTGGCAAACGCTCTGTAAGTGAGGGGGAGGGGAAAAGCTTTTCCGTGGCCTTCAAGTACGAAATTTGGCGAAGACCTTTAAAATTTCGTTTCTATTGTACGACTTTAGAGGGTAAATTAAAATGGTTTTACGAAAATAGGGTTTTAAGGTGCAAATTGGATTAATCTGGCTTAGAACAGACTCTTGTGAACACGTTAAAGAACCTTAGAGGCCGGGGGATTTATTGAATAGCTGAGCGTACTATTAATATCTGAAGATGGACTCTGCTCCATGGAGATGCTTACGCAAATTTTGCGTTAAACGCGTCTCGAGAGGGAGATCTCCTTTAAGTAAACCGTGCGAGTAACTCGGGTGCTCCAGCCTCTTTGTAATCTTGTTAATCTCGGAGGCTAGAGGTTCCCACGGAGGTTAAGAACGTCGATCGTGGTCTTCCAGGTTGTAAAACGTGAGGCCTCGTATATGGTACCAACGTTTCAGACAAGCGTATGGCCTCACAACTGAAGATGTAGGCGGTAAGTTCCACCTACAAGACCACTCTGCCCAAATCGCAAGGTTAACTGTTTAAAACCATGCTACGACCTCCATATCACGTGTTCACTTTGTGCAAATAATATTTAATTGTCGTCTTTATGTCTCTGTAGCTAGATGGGCGCGGGTTCGTTGTGGATGTGGTAAGGTTGAGAAAAATTCTAATTTCGTCTAAATAAAAATTGAAGAAATCGGTTCGTACCGCAAAGAGAATAACACTTCGCCATTAAAAAGATCAATTGTTTAACGACGTTTGAGGAAATAATCTCTTGCTTATTCTGATAATTATATGAAATACGTACACTCTGTGGGAAAGATGTTGGGTTAAAGGTTGTTAAAGTAGGTGGTATATATAGTTACCACCAAGTTTCTTAAAGGGTTAATAGTAAAGCCAGTACGAAAAATCTAATTAGATAGGCCAAAAAACTTCGTACGAAGAACTTTTGGTCGATAAAAGACGAAAAGACAAAAACCAATGTCGGAACGCGTAAAAGTTCTAGGGGTGTGGCAATGATAGAAGTTTGCATTACCGAGCCGCAAAGCGTTTAAAATACAGTTCCGTGTCGTCGTTCTGTATTTCCACCCCGTCACACTGCCCCAGCCAGAGGGGATGTTTATCTGCCACTCTCCGTCAACCCGTGGCATCCTGAGAATGCGAGAGGAGCAAAGCCATTTGCCTCCAAAATGTCGACGTTTTGGAATGGAGCGGAGGAGGGGCGTTGGAAGTAAAGTCGGAAATCGGGGCGTGCTTTGAATTCTGCACAACTCAAAAAAAAAAAAAAAAAAGAGGAGACTTTGGAAATGGATTAGGTGTTGGTGTCGCTCACGAGTGACCTGCTAAGATTCAGAAGATGGACACGGAGCGTTGAAGCTTTTTCTGGGACAGTCTGCCATTTTTATTAATTTCTTTCAAATTCGGTCTAAAAATAAACGTGGAGAAAATCACGAATGATGATTTGTGAATGACGAATTGGAACAGGCAAGGAAGGATGAAGTCGCTTACTTAAAACCCTGAAATGCCTGAGTAAAACTGTGAAAAATCTCAAGCTATCAGACCTAAATGCAAAAAAAATGGTATTCAAAACCCCAGATTAGAAAGCCGGGATGTAATTAATTTGACCATAATAATTCAATGCTATATCCTCCCTCACTCACTCGCTCACTCCCTCACACACCGATGATCAAAACCAAGTTTTTCCCCCCAAAAAGAGCGCCCAACGAGTTCTCCTTCAAGATGTCCACGAATCCTTACCTGCGGATAGTCGCCATCTTTAGTCTGGTAATCAAACACGTAGAAAAACGACTTAGTAGCACCGGGTCCAGGGTTCGAGAGCACCCTGTAGCTGAGGAGGTCCCCCGTCTGCACGAGCGGGGCCACGAACTCAGCGTCGCTGAGCGCCGCCACAGTGGCGTCCCGCGTGTTGATCGGGTGTTGAACCGTCCTCTCCCAGTCGGTGTACTCGTTCACTACAGTAAAGAAGATCTCTGATAAATGATACGTGTACGCATTCCTGACGTAAGTCCTTAATATCTTATCCCTACGTTCGCCTTCAAATCCGGCTTGAATGTCGGACGCCGAAAATCTCCAAAGCGCCTCACTCGTAACGACGCCGAATAATAAATCATACCGATTACCACCGGCACTGTTCGCTATTGCCGCTAAAGTCGCGTCACCACTTCTCTTCATATTACTGTTAACACCCCCCATAGACCCGGCATACCCCTGCATATCAGGGTGGAAATACGTGAGGATTTCTTTCTGGAAGTCTGTCTTGATGACCACGCCGTCAACACTAGGTCCAAACGCACTGAGATACGTCGGAGCCGACACATCGGCTCGGAGAAGTTCTTCGAGAGGTACGTCCCGCAAGCAGTCGACGATGTTCTCGTGGTCTTTGTACAGGTCCTCGGGTATGGAGCAGTTCACCTGTCGCGCGAGACGCACGGCGAAACTGACCGGGTCTTCAACAAGTGCCCAACTGCTCAGCGCCGACCCGGACAAAAGGATGGCGCGGTGAAAGAGTCCTGTAATGAATCGATCACATGCAACTCCATTAGCCCTCCTTGAAAGGCTGACAACAACTCAGTCACGAAATGCCACGTATCTTATGGCAGTGGTATTCAACCTTTTTTGTTCGCGTACCCCCAGATATAATTTCTCTTCAACTTT